CAGCCACAACAGCAGCAGCAGCAGCAGCAGCAGCAACAGCATTAGCAACAGCATACCGCCCCAAATCAACTTGGGCGGTTCTTTCGTTTCAATCATCAGCACGCTAGATGTCGTACACGACATAGCGTACTCGCTGATTGAGTTTTGCAAATTCGATAGGAAAATTCATATTATCGGACGAAAGTTTCGTTGGCTAGTTGATTACTGATTACTTCATTGTAGTCTCTTTCAAAGGCATTTGAAACACCTCCATTTCTTTAAGATGTACGTCCTTGGTCCATCGACACAAAGCCAGTTTGTTAGGATTGAAATGTTCGCGCCATCGGTTTGAATCACCTTTAATCACGGCACAAGCTCGTGTTTATAATAATTATTATCTTGTAAAACGTGTCGAGCTGAAGTGACAAAATGCGTATACACGAATTCCTCTTTTACGTACACGTTGTAGCGTACGTGAAAAGAAGCGACGAAGTTGCCGCTCGCCTCAAATAAGATTGTTTTTGTCGCTAATCCAGTTCCATGACGCAAGTTAGAAATAAATATGAAGTTTATATATATATATATATATATAGATACACACACGCGCACACAAACTCACACACACACACACACACACAACACACAACACACAAACCAAAATATATATTTTTGAAAGCGCGAACTGGATTCGCCCAAGATAACACGGCGATCGAGTTTTGGGCTAATAATAATAATAATAATAATCGATTATATTTGAATGATAATTCGCTTTTACGATAATGATGATAAAAAATACGTAATGAAAGAATTAACGCGAGAGAAATACGGTATGGAACAGAGTTTGTAAATACACGTGCGAATTTTCATGAATGTGAGAGGAAATGTAATATTGGTACATGCCGTATGCGCGCGCGAGGTGTGAACCTATTTATTTCTCTTATGCAATACAATCGTGACATTATAAGGGAATCTGCCGAGGTAAATCGTAAGTTCAATTTGTATTTTGTAGGAATATATCAACGGAAGCATGCTTACATTTTTCTATAATTTAGATCATTGCATATGTTGCCTTCGTAAAGACGCAAAGTATTGGGGGGACGATCAAACCCGTGCTATACGAATAACGAGTTACGAGTTGGTGGTAGAATTACATATAAAGAACCCATAACGTTTAGTACTTTTTCAGAAATGGTAGGGAAAGGGGTAATAATTACGAAAAATTATTGAATTACGCATTTGCGTAACAATGTACGCTGCTCTGAAATCAACGTTTTTACAATCGATAATTCTTCGCAATCCGCAAAGGATTCATCTTGATTTAATATCGATGTTCGCGCAAAAAGAAGCAAACTTGCACGTCGTGGAATCATTACGGACAAATACGAAATACTTGCGTGAATTCAATTGGGCACGATTAAAAATTACACGATACACAAAGGTATGTAAAGAAATATAGATGAAGATAACAAAGAATATAGAGAACTGAAATCCTCGAATGTTAACCAAATCGATGAATCGTGATTCACATGAAAAAGCTTTTTTATAAAGGTGTATGTATACATGAAAAAAAACTTCTTATTGTAAGTATTACAATTAAAGGCAATGGGTAACTGTACAAGAAATATTATTATTTTATTATCATAATATTATACAGATATATATACCATTATCGTAGTTAGGCTAAGTAGTACATAAGTCATTTTCATTGTTACTTACATAAATATTGGAGGAGAAAACTGAAATAAAACATACATTTAATACAAAATTATTCTTGCCTCTCTAATGAGATTCACACGTACACGTTACCTTTTCCTTAGTAAATAATTTCGTTAGATGTTGAAGTTTTATACACACACACACACACACACACACTGGGTGATCCGAAATTCACGAATTCGTAGTACAGGACATGATACTTAATGATACAAAATTGCATGTTCGATAAATATTTTTTGCGCTTATTTGTTAAAATGTTAATCCGCTCTCTTGCATAAACTACTTGTTGGACGGAATTTTGCAAAAGGAAAATGTTTCTTTTTTAGTTACAAAGTATAATCATACTTTGAATTCGTGAATTTCTGATCACCCTGTATATCTACATACGTATATATACGTACGTATCGAGAGATGTGTGCGAAAGTAAGGGCGAATCTATCGTAGAGGGGATGTAACGGCATATCGCGGCGGGAAAAGAGGTGCAAATTAAGATTCTTGTTGACGATTCGGGTATTTTCGCGGCCCGTTCACGCCGCGGTGCGATGCGATGCGATGCGATGCGTCGCGGCGCGTCGCGTCGCGTCGGGAGTCGGGAGATCCGGGAGAGAGAAAAAATAGTTAAGAGGCTGGCACAGTAGAGGGCGGATAGGTGGGATGGGGGCACCGGCTTGAGAGACAGGTGTCAACTGTACACCGTACGAGAAATATTTTTCGGTGACAGCCGGTTGCGTGGAAAAAACGTTCTAGACGAGTTTGAGCGAGGATTGCCGAATGGTAAGCGACATTGCCATGTATCTCTTACATTTTGGCTGCGTGCGTGGTACGCGCTAGACTGAGAATCGTACGCACGGCCATTTTCTCTCGAGTTTGATATGTACGGTGATGGTCCCACGTCCCACGCTGCGCGTATCGACTAAGTATCGGACGAGGTGGGGCGCGGAAGAGGAGTGAAGAAGAGAGGAGGAGGAGGAGGATGGCCGGCGGTTGCGTTCCTAGTCCCTACGCGTGTAACGCGTCCCCTTGACAATCGACCTCCCCTCCGCGCGCGCGCGCGCGTGCACCCCATCTTCCACGACTATCTTTCGTCGGCGGTTTTTTTTAGTCGCATCCTTTTTTTCGTCGGCATGTTCTCGAGTGCAGTCCGGTAGATCACGTTCGTTGCGCGAACGAGAGGGGTGGTGTACCATATCTAACTAATCCAACGGATCTAACCGTGGCGTGTCCTTGGCCGCGAACGACGAATCATCTTGGTCGCCGGTTGACGATCATACGTCAGGTTGTCAGTGTTGAGGTGGCGGGTAATAAGCTACAAGCCGCCGCCGGCCGCGTACAGTCGTCACTCTCTCGTCAGTCCGATCCGATCGGAGTCGTGAGTCGTGACACTCGTGACTCGCGACGGACGCTGATCGACGCTGATCGACGATTTGTGAGTGCGGTCGTATATAGTGGCGTCAGTGGTGAGTGGCGTGGTGCGGTGTCTACCGACGCGCTTTGACGCTTCTGTGTCTCAATCTCGGCGTCTCCCTACCCTTGGCGCTCTCTTTCTCTGGCGTCTATCCTCACGTGCGAGAAGAATCTGCGCTCTCTCTCCCCTCGCACTCCCGTCTCTGTGTCACGGGGATTTTCTCTCCGAAGAAAGAAGAGGTGCGAAGAAAGGATCCGGTACGGAGGGCGAGGAAACATGGGGAGAGGGACATCGTTGTGAGTAAATATAACGCCGGGCGTCGCTCGGTGTCGTCCTCGTCGTCATCGTCGTCGTCGTCGTCGTCGTCATCGTCGTCGTCGTCGTCGTCGTCATCGTCGTCGTCGTCGTCGTCGTTGTCGTTGCCGTCGTCGTCATCGGTATCGTCGGCGCCGCCGCTACCGCTACCGCCACCGCTGCCGCCTCTGCCACCTCCTCTTCCTCCGCTGTCGCCGCGTCTTTACATAGACAAAGTTATGCCAGCGAGTCGAGATGCCGTTGCATCGGCATGCGTAGAGGTACGCGATGAGAAGTACGGAGCGATTTGGAACGCGGCCGGCGCGGCGACGGCCTCTCGGCTCGCTTCCACGCGGGTCCATTCGCCTTTATTTCTCTCACACTTCGCTTAAGGAGATACATCTCCTTCGCATCTAGTAACCTTGTATTTTTCGTATTCGAAAATTCCACTTGCTTGAAAAAGACGCTCTCATCAGTTTTCTTCTCCCTTTCTAGATACACGAATTCTGCTTACGGTCTGCAATGAATTTCCCACCGTTCGGAGGTCACTTCCCTAGCACTATACCGAGTATCCATCAATTTGCAACCGATAGTTCCAGTGGTGCAGGCGCGCGTTACGCCAATCATTTTCCCAACCAGCCTCCAATCGGAGTGCCGGTTGTGGGAAAATACCGTCCCGAGAACAACGGCGTACAATCGGCTCAGTCGCAAGTAATGATGAACAATAAAACTAGCTATCCCAACAGTTCTAATGTTCATCATTATCCGAATGTGCCGTACACTCAAGCTCAATCGGTTCAACAACGACCAACCAACTCGCCTGGAATGCAAGAGAAACGCTCGTACCATCAGGTAAAACGCAACTTCTCTCACACACACACACATACACACACACACACACACAGCTTACAGCCCATTTTAATTCTAACAAACGTATTTATTTATGTTTGTATCTTTACCGCACTCAATACGGTCAATAGCGCACATTCCACTTCTTTAGCTTCTTGTTATTGTCGTACATTTGTAAATATGATAAATGAGCGATGTGGATGGACGCGATGAGAGATCATGATCGTCGAGATAACAATCGACAAAAAAAAAAGTTGTTTTCTGCGTCATTTTTTAGCAGTTCATATGGCATGAAAACATGTCGTCTCGAAATTCCTCTCTCCATCAATTAGAGCTAGAGTAAATTTTTCTATTGAAATCATTATAAGAATAAAATAAAACGATAATACCCCGTATATGAATATTATCGGAAGGATAAACAATATCAAATGTTCAGTGTTGTGAATTATTCGTTTATCGCTACAAGAACGATGGAGCTTTTGAATTTTAAGTGTACATACGTATTTTTTTGTCACATAGCAATCTACGGAAACTATAAATCAACAAGATGTTTGCAACCTTCTTCAAGACAAGGACAAGAGCAAGGAAAAGAAGGCTGAGGAGCAACAGCGGAATGGAGAGACTACGACGAATGGCACTCAACAGGATTATACGATGCACCAACATCACCAGCAGCACGCTCATACTCAGACGCCAGCTACTATGCCCGCAACGTGGCAGTCGCTCGCGACTCCTGGTTCCACTGTAGCTGATTATCTCAGCCATTTACCAGCTAGCACCTTGCCATTGAGTTTACATCATTTTCTCAAGTATTCTGCCGAAAGTATCAAAAAAGAGTCGGAAATGGCGCAAACAACCTCAGTGGCTGTGGCGACTACAACAACGCCCAATATAATGATGTCACCGAATAATAAAAAGAAGAAAAAGAAGAAGACGCCGAAGGAGAAGAAGCCACGTCCGAAACCTGGCGAAATTCGTTTAACGACAGCGTTAGACGGTTCGACATTATATTGTTGTCCAGAGTGTCATATGGCGTATCCAGAACGAGAATTGTTAGAGCAGCACCTTTTAGGTCACACTTTAGAGAGAAGATTTGTTTGTGACATATGTGGCGCTGGCTTGAAACGAAAAGATCATCTTACGCGTCATAAACAGAGCCATAACCCTGAGCGACCTTACGTTTGCACCGTTTGCTTGAAAGCTTTTAAAAGAAAGGAACAATTAACACTGCATTTTGTAATACATTCTGGGGAGAAGCGACACGTGTGCACTGAATGTGGCAAAGGATTTTATCGAAAGGATCATTTACGGAAACATACCAGAAGTCACATTGCGAGAAGAGTGAAGGCTGAATTAAGTCAAAACGCTGGTAAGAAATGTATTACGTATTGTACGAGATATCGAATGCGAGCTTAAAATCATTTTCCCTATTCCTTTTCTCACGTTGTACCATCAACATGTATATATGATATTTGTGTTATAGGTACGCAACAGAATCAACAACAAAATAACGTTTCGAATATGCAAACCACAACTGTCTCAGCGTCATCCGTTCTTCCGGGTGGACATCCGGGTTCTCTCCTGTCCTGAGCCCCGCCACCAGGGAACTTTCAGGTTCCCCATCCAAATAATATTCTTCATACTCATACATCGCATCATTCGCTGCATCATCATCATCATTTAACGGCAGTAAATGTAGCACATCAATCAAGCGTCACACCACTCGCTACATCTGGTCATTATCAGTCACATGAGCTTAACTTTTTGGGGCACGTTAAAGATTTCTGAGACGAGGAGAGGACCTCGATGAAGAGGTAACACCAAGATGCTAATCAATTGTCACTATCATCGCCAACGACGATAATAATTAGCTCCGAGACTGACTCATGATTTGAATCGAATGAATGAATTTTATAAATGTGTATATTTACGTTATTTGTGCTTCTAACTTCCTTCTTCAGGTCTTAATTTATTTTTGACTTGACAACTTGTTATATTTGTCATGTAATTTTCATTGCCAGTAATGTTTCCACCACAATAATAATGCCATACATCAAGAGACATGATAATATTTTACGCAAATATAATAGATGTCCAATTATAATAAATCTTCCCCGTAACTAGGCTGATACATTTCTTTTTACATTGTTCCATTTTGCAAGTGAAAAATTATTTTACGTAGATAATGTTTGTCTAGCTGAAAATTGACCAAACTCGAAATCACTTTTATTAAGATCTTTTTTTTCGTTTTTAGAAATGAAACGTGACGTTTTTTCACATAATTACTTTTTCTAGTCATTTTGCATGTAATAGTATTATGGTAAAAGTCATCAGCAATCAAGTTTATACAAAATACATATTACAAATTTATTTTATATAAAATGTTATTTATTTTATTCAAATATATATGTGAGTTTTGAAAAAAATTTTACTTCATCGATTATATAATTGGACATCCTGTTTATAAATGTATTATAGGAGCAATTTGTGAGATATAATAAAGCGTATCTTTTAGAAAAAAATGCTTTTTTCGAATAATAATATATAAAAAATAAAAAACAGTCATAGACACTTATATGCTCTTTATAGCACAAACAAAAAGTACATATGTGGGAAAAGTACTAATTTTCCACGGAAACTCTAGAGTAGAAATTTGACTACAAGTCAAAAAATTCTTGCCATACGTCGTGTACGACGAGGAAAAAGAAGATATTTTTATGAAAAGTCGATGTAACTTAGAAACTAAGTGATTCGATGAGAGAGAGAGAGAGAGAGAGAGAGTGCGTGTGCGCGCGCGCGTGATGTGTGCGTGCGTGCGGAAGGGAGATAATGCATCTCTTTATTTTGTTTTTTTATATCATTGAATTTACATTCACATGAACGATGTGTGCGGTAATTGTCAATATTTTTTAATTTTTTGTTAAACAACATTACAAGTGCAAATAGTGTAAAAGGAATGAAAATTACATAATATTCCTAATACACATTATAATAAAGTTACAAATTAACCCACCGATTAGAAAACAGTTTTTTATTTTACGAAAGAATAGAATTGTTTCATTTTTTTTAGTTCATAAAGGGAAAAGATTATTTATATTAATTGTAAAATTTTTTGGTTATGCTTTATAAAAATGTAAAAGCGCATAGCAATATTTCATGATAGATAGAAATCATATTTTGTTTTATTAAAACTTACGTTAGTTTAATATATAATATAAAGTTGACAGTATTTTATATTTTTATGATAGTTCCAAATTTTTCTCTTGTATGTACGGTGCGCGTGCATGCGTGTGGATGTTGTATGCAGGATCTATATGTATATAACATTACATGTAAATCCAAACATATTTGCCCAAATAATTGAAGCAAATATATTCCTTATTTTCCTTTGTGACTTATCATAGCATTGAGCACTTGTCATGTTTAATTAGCCTTTATAATTTTTATATAACTTTTTACATTGTTTTTATACATATTTTTCGTTGGACTTCTTATATTCGTTACATTCGTTGAATACTGATTATATATATATATAGATACTATATATACATAAGATTAATTTTTTAAGTATATAATTTTTAAGTATATAAAAATATACGCGTATGTGTGTGCGTGCGCGCGTGTGTGTGTTTAAGGTAGTTTTTAATTTTTATATTTATCCACATCGCAAATCTCTTCACAGACTGTGATCGTTCCCAGCGGACATCTGATGTAATTATCAATTATCTGCGTTTTAAGTTTATATTTTTGTCTCATTTTAGTATTAATGTTCGTGCCATTCATTTTAAATTTATTTCCTTTCAATGTTTTTCTTGCCATACTTATAGATATTTGTCAGGTACTTATATAATCATAGGTACCGCTGTGTGCATGGTTACGCACGTCTCACACACACATACATATTTTTTACCATATTAATTATCATCATCATTATCATTGTCATTGTTATTATTTCTTATTATTATCATTATTGTTATTATTACAATTATTATTTATCTTTATGCATATTCATAAATATTATAGAGAAGAAACGACGGACGTGTGTATATATTATATAAACATGCATATTGCAACGTGAAATGTTAGAAATATGATGAGAAATATAAGAGAATTTACCATTACTATATTACAGAAATAAAAATTCCGAATATACAATTGTGTATCTCTGTTGGTTAAAACTTTGCTAAGCTTTATTGAAAAAGTTATATATCGGTATTAAAATATTTTATAATTTACAAACAGAATGTTTATAAAGATACGAGTTTGCAATGTAATTACAGTATCCACTGTTTACATATATTATTACGTTTATTACGCTTAAAAGGTTATTCGAATGCACTTTTTTTTATCTTTTTCATCATATCTCTAACGTAAATCGCGTTTTGAGTAACAGAAAATTCAGGTTTCGTCAGACCTCAAATATAATGATATATTACAATTATTTCATACACTGGTATATATATACATGTGTATACTAAAAACCATATGTAAGAGATCAATTAATATTAAGATATTTCATTGCCACGTACTTATAACTGTCGAGGCAGAGCGTTAGTCGTAATTATACATTAGCGAGTAAGAGTTTATATACAGATATACATACTATTAAATAAGGAAGAAACAGAAGAAAACAAAAACTAAAAGCTGTACACAGGACGTGTAAAATATCGCGCACTTTTTTTTTTAATTTGTTGGGGAAAAGTTTAAGATGTATACATAATTTTTCTTGTAACGCAAAGTATATGACAGCTCTAGAGATGTGTAAGAACATCTAGAAAAGAAAAATTTATAAACAATTGAGTTTTAATTAGAGAATTATGTGGACCTTTAATAGTCTTTTAATTTAGAGATCATTTATCGAACTGCCTAAAGATTGATAATTGGAAAAGATGCCGCCGAATCGATTTTTTGTTAAGACAAAAGCTATAGTCCAGGTAATAGAATGACATGGAAAGACGATGTAGTGACGTCTATTTTGATCTATTTTGATCACTATTTTCATCTTTTGAATGTCTTCTGATACTTGGAAAAAGAGCGCGAGATTTATCATACGTCCTACATGTGAGAAGAAACGACGAAAATATATATGGAAATGATACAAGTCTTGAGGAAAGTAACCTGTTTTATTTGCAGATAGTAGACAGGATATACAAATAATGAAATGAAAGGTAACGAGAAGAAAAATAAATAGCTTTATGAGAGAGAGAGAGAGAGTGGGGGGGGGGGGGGGGGGAGAAAGGAAAGCGGATGAGAGAAAGAAGCAAATATTTCCAAAGTTCGACATACTGTTCAAACAAATGAATGGCTCAAGATCTATTTTGAAGGATAGCTAAAAAAACCTATTTCCATTCTCGACGAGGCGAGTTTATTCTTATGGTTTATAGAAACGATCGTTTCGTCGAGCTGCATAGATGTAGTAATGTTCCTGTAGAAAAAGGAAAGATAATAGTTGATGCGTTTCTAAAAAAAAAAAAAAGAAGGAATACTTTTCCGGTGCCTTTATATTGCGCTGGATTTTCCGCACCCGTATAGTTTTCCATGATAAGGTCTAAGTCGAAAAAGCGGCGCGTTGTGCCTCTCCGTTCTTGGAACTACGTGTACACTCGTCCGCCTCCACGATATTGATTCCAGCAACCGTCTTCTTCGTGTTTGTTTCTTATATCTTTTTGTGCAACTACAAGCGTCAAAATATTATCGGAACAGCTTGAATTCCGGAATGTAATATGTCGTATCTTTGATTATCAAGTATACTTCATATCTGTCGATGTAGGATTTCTTAATTTTTTCAAAAAATCAAAAGCCAAAAGGAATAAATACAACTTATCTGTATCATATGCGAATGTGTTCATCATATTCGATGAACGAGAATGCCATTTATTTCGTTTATGTGCCTTTTTCTCTTCTGAAAGAAAATATAATGTATTCGATTCATTTTTTTTCTTTTTTCCAAATCGAATGTTGATTAATTTTAGTAATTATAGAAAACAAGCACGGTTATTGAATAGAAATGCCATTTCTATGAAGTATTAGGCACGCTCGTTCTATCTGATATTTCGGTTCGACTAAGATGTCTCGGTGACATCTTATACTTGGTTTTCTTATCTCAATTAGAAGCGATCAATTATGAAGATATGAGTTTTATAGAAGGTGATGCTGATGTTGATGATGATGATGATGATGATAATGATAATAAACTCATAGTAATAACAATAATCATAATAATATTAATAACAAAACAATAATAATATTAGTAATAATAACAATAATGATAATAGTAAGATTAGAAGCAACATAGAGAAAATAAGATCAAATTCTCTTGCGACGCGCTTACTAGTTTTATGCGAAACCGCAAAAAAAGAAAAGACTAAAAGACTTTTCAAGTCAACAATGATTTACATTTGATGTGAATCATGTACAATACGTAGCTTATTTCCTTCATGTATTTACAATTGTTCAATAATTTACCATCTTATGATGTGAAATCCGTAAGTACTCTTTTATAATCTGCTCGAAGCGCGAATAATGTTAAATAATTTGGCATTTTTCTCTTCCGCTCTCTTGCCATAAATGTACGTATACTTGTAAAGTATTTTTTTTATTGTTGTATCAATTTGCTATTTTGTTTATCGATTCATTTGTTACGAACTGCGAATATATCGATGAATGGTAGATCGTATAAAAGACGACCATTTAAAAACTAATTAGTCGTCATAAAACTATTTGACAAGGGTAGTAAAGATTAAAAGAAAAAAAAAAAAAGCGTGACACCATTTCGATGTACTCGGATGTGAATCTCTCAGGAGCAGAGATGACAATGAGAAACATATTTTTCTATGTGCAGTATCAAAACTTTCAATTATCTGTATTAAAGCTATATAGGGCAAAGAAAAAGAAAAGTGAATTTATCCCATCACAAGACGCGAGTATCGCAAGTGCGAGTGTAATTTTATTAATCGATTTGTGCAAAAAACAAAAGTAGAAGGGATGAACGTGCGTTGCTGCTCGTTATGAAAACTTATTTCTTATTTGTCGAAGATTTTCTAAAGCAGTCACTTTTTACGGAATGCATTTGCGTAACATATTAAATGTAGCCAATAAAAGCATCTCGTTCAATGGAAGATTTTACATAGCCAAGACGCATCGTTATTATTATGTTTAGTCTTTTTGGCTTATCTTTAATCGACGCCTTGTCGCTATGAGTGTGTGCTACGAGTGTATGCGTGATTGCGTATGCGTAATTACAAAGTTTATGTAACACAAATATGTTAACAGGCGATTGACGAAAAAACACAAATTCCTCGACATAGTACAAACGCTCACAAATTCTTGTTTTCCCCAGATAGATTAGATGCGTGACAAGGTGTACAAGTCATACGAGTGAAACGACCGGCTGACCTCGAAGTACGAATTTCTTTTTGTCCAATAGCAGTATGATCTTTTCCGAAATATAAGTATGTCTTATGTAGGAAGCAAACGCGAATGAGTCTTTACAATGCGATACATTCAGATGTTGAGTGCTCGATTCAGTTTGTATTTTCGAAACAAATTTTAAATATAATCTCCATAACTTTTTTCGTCTTGCTTATCATCTACGAGCCTTCCTGTAATCTCACTCCAAATGCTACTATTTTTACTTGATGTTACCGAAGCAATAAACACCAATTTGAGAAAAGAGAGAAGAGGATGCTGAAAGTTTTTTAGTTTATAGTAGTTGCATACTATACACACGAATACAAACGCGAAGTGACTTCGAGGACTCCCGGCAAATTGTCACATTACACTGATGGCTTTGTAATATCTCTTCTAAATGTTTTAACCGATTATTCTTTCATTTGAACTATTTAAATTTACATTTTACGATCGATTCTACATTGCTGCACCGTTTTCAATATTTGTACCGCACAGTCTTCCAGGGTACAAAAATACTAATTATATGCGTTGTATGTAAATAAAAAATTAATACATAATGAACGAGCACAGAAGGGTAGTGAAGAGAAAGAAAAGGACAAAACAAATGTACTAAACACAAGAAAGAGATATAACTAAGCGATTTTCTGATATAACGTTTTATTTTTATATAGAATGCTTAAAATGTCTTTCGAGTCTAAGAACGTGAAAAAAAAAATGAAAAAATGAATAGACGCGGAAAATAAAAGAGCGTTAAGTAATGAGAGAAAAAGAAAAATATTCTGAAAAACTAGTATGTACTAGGAAACGGATACATTTAGATCGCGAAACTGAGAGTCTAAAATTTGTGCACATTTTTCAGATGTTTCAGATGAATATCTTTATATATTACAATTTACATCATATTCAATGCACCACGCGCGCGCGCGCGCATGCACGCACGCGCGCGCACACACACACACACACACACACACAGATGTATGTATATTCATGAAAATGCATGACGTACATTTTTTCTTACAATTCGTTATATACATATATGTATAATGTGTGTACATATAAATATCATGTATATGTATGCATGTATGTATATGTATAAATTGTAAGAAGAATCATCAGATTTATTGTTTGGAGCGCCATTATCCGAAAAAATTTGACTCTCTCTCTCTCTCTCTCTCCCCCTCCCCCCTTTTCCTCCTTCCCTCCTGTTGCTTTTTATCTTTTCTGTTCTTGAGCGCGAGAGTGATCAAATCTAAAATCATCGACCAATTTAAATATGCGTTTTTGCATTTCTAATAATTATGTATTATATAAACGAGGTAGATATTTTTATATAATAATCATTTATTAATTTAATTACGATTATTGCGTTAACAAAATGCTATCCCTTCCTCTTCAGGGACTTTTAGATCTTGTTCTTTTCTCGTACATACGTTTGTGTCCGTGTGTCTGTGTGCATGTCTGAATGCAATATACAAGAGCGTGACTTAGCGATATAATAAGAAAATGCCAATAAAATTACAAATTTTCATACAAATGCAATGTATATGGAACCTCACAATTGATTTAATGTATTACTAATGTTGGAAATGGAAGCGACATTATCTTACTTCCTCTCTTTCGTAGAATAAACATTCGGATATATTCAAATATATTCTCTTCGCGCGCAATAATTACCAAAGTAGAATAAGACGGGGTTATTTTATACACTAACAAGACTTTGAAAGACATAAAATTATTTTTAACAATACATATGTATATAAACAGATAAATATCATTCTTTCTCTCAAGTAATGATAATTTTTATCTACAGATATGTATTAATTTACTATAAGTGATATTCCCATTCTTCGCTAAAGAATGCTCTCTACAACAATAATCTGTTACAAATTGCAAAAATACTATACTATACGTACGCTTTCTTATTAATCACCGTGCAAACTTAGTGTATAAATTATTTCAAATATCGATAGAAATATTTAATCTTTCACAAAAAGATGTAAAGAGAATTACAAATTTGTATTTATGTGTGCATATATATATATACATATATATATATATATATATATACATATATGTATATATGCACATGCACACACGCACGCACGCACGCACACATATGCAATGAAAACACTGTTATAACGTGGCGTCAGTCTGCCTATCAATTCCTTACTTTGCAAGCAAAAGAAAAGTAAAGAAAAATCGACGACTTGTAGAAGCAACATGCTATTGCGTAATATTGTCAAATTATATTGACATCCTTTCTCCTCCGCTTACGAAGATATTTAATGCATTTCAGCATTTCATGATTTATTTCTATTGTCTTATAATGCCTACGTTTGTAAATTGATCTCTTGAAGAAACGAAGAATATCGCTTCAGATAAGAAGCATAAAAACTAAATCTCAAACTCAATTCTGTTTAAGAACAGAATCTCAATGTAGACGATAATATAACGTAACTGTTAGTATGTGGTATTAGTGAAATTTACCGGATATTGCAGTTTTTCCAAGATTTCTTCCAAGAGCAAAAAGATCAGGAATAATGTAATAAAGTAAAATATGTCATTTATCACTTTGAATTAATACCGAACTTGTTCAAGTTTCAAAAAATGCCAACAGATATATTCTTAATATACAGACAACATTCTACACGTATAGTGTATTATAAAGGACATTACAAAAACAGTATATAACATTATCGTAATCTTATCTACCTGTCGACAAAATACACAGCAATAAGATATACTCCCTTAGGAACATGGGTTCTTATATCGATATAACAAATTCTCTAGGAAAGTACTTGTCGCGCGCAAAGTTGAGTATGTTGGATAAGGCTCATTCGCGCGTATTAAAGCTTATAGAATAAAATTATCTAAATAATAAAGTAAAAATGATTTGCTGACGTAGATATGAACGCACGTTACATAAATCTAGCGTAATAACTATGTCCGTAAAATTGAAAGTGCGGGAGGGCCAGATTGCCTCATCATCATAGTAAAATTACTCAATCCTTGGTTGCTTGGCTGCTGATCGTTGGGATTGTTATGTGAAATATTTAAATTTTTGCCTCGACTGCTATTATGACTTTGCAAATGTTTCTTCAAGTGATCTTTTCTATAAAAAGCTTTGCCGCATTCGGTACAAATTTGATTTTTGCTACCTGAGTGAGTAATCATATGACGTGCCAAGTGCTCGTTACGTTTAAATGCTTTACAACACATGTTACATTGATATGGTCTATCTTTATTATGACCTTGCTTATGACGATCCAAGTGTTCCTTTCGTTTTAAGCTTGCCCCGCAAATATCACAGATATATGGTCTCTGTTTATGATCTTCAAGATGTTCGTGAAGTGCCTCCCGATCATTAAATCTATATGCACACTCGGGGCAATGGTAAACCAACATACCTTATACAGGCAAAGAATATTATACGTTATATATAATATCGTCGATAATAAAATAGAGACAAATATATTTCAACATTTCATTGTTTCCATAAATATCTTATCACATGCAATTATAATTTGCAAACGAAAGGTTGCTTTGGTATAAAGTATTAACTGCGACTCACCATTAATATGCTGTGGTTCAATATCAAATTCGATTTTTGCTCTTACTTCTTGATACGTAGAATTTGTACCACAGTCCTCATATTTAGTCGCGTATGGTAAACCTAACGTACTAGAGCAACGTGCCAGGCATTCGGAAAGCCTAAAATCAATTTGCAGAGGATCCGTCATAGTCGCAGCGTCTACTTTCTGCACAGTCTGTGTGCTGGATGACTGCTGTGAGATTTGTGGACAAAGTTCTTTGCTGCTGCGCAAATTGTTTTCATTCCGATTTTCATCGGTTTGCTGGAAATGCTGCGGTGGATGGCCAGAATAATTGTATCCAACCACGTTGGGCCGCTGCGAGGTATTTGGTGGATATTTCACGTTACGTGGATCGTAAGCCATTGTACCAAGTAAAGAAGTTTGAGATATATCTTAGTACCCACTCTCGAGAAATTACTGCTTAATATTAATCACACATACGACATCTATGATGTCTACAGTAATATCTGCAATATCTGCATTGTCGCCTAAAAAAAAAAGGTGGGGAAACTTTAAAGGGACTTACTGCGAGCATGTATCGCTGTCGCGCATTTATCATGTACAAATATGAATTACGGTGTATTGAGAGACTATGAAAAAGTATCTTACTGCGGCAGCATCATCGTAGAAAATGTACCCGCCGCGTGCTGCCCCGCTGTTTCTACCACGCTCATCTCGTCGGTTTTTCGACGCTTCTCTAGCGAAACAAACGTTTCCGCATTGTCGTCGGGGTCGTCGGGGAGTCGTCGTTGGCAGTGTCGGCAGTGTCGGCACCGTCGAGGGATCGGACAAATTTGTCTGCATTCATCGAAAACAATTCCAGTTACATTCTCACTTTTGCCTACTACGATATTACATGTTAGACAGTGTTAAATAATTCAAATGCTGCTGAAACGCCGTGGGCCTATCCACTTATGTATCGCGAATATCAGTGAACATGGTGAGAATATCATGATCGGTATAGGCCATGGTGTAATAAAGAAGAGGTGTGCTCGTTAGGTATACCAAATTTTGACCCGTTCTGCGCATATATGGCGTTGGAACAAGTCGCCTTCCATATAAATGTATAAAAATAAAAATGTGGAAAATAATAGTAAAGACTGACGTATCACTGACGTTGTTCGTTGAGATTTTAATAAAATGTTTAATTGAGATTTTATTGAAACGTTTTTTCTAACAAATTTTAAGTATTTATTTATTGTTATTCATTTATTTTTACCACTTCATATATCTTGTCAAAATGTTTTTTGTAATAAATTCTGATACAGTATTTTATTTATTTATCTTTACCCTTTCCATATGTATTAACACCGACGAGATACGACTATTAAAGACCAACATCCTTACGGGAGTTCGCGTCCTTGTGAATATTGAAGTGATTAAGAGTTAAAAACTGATAATATATTGTACTAATTTTATGATTTATTAGTTTAGTAGATGTATTTACGTATTTATAACTCAATAATACTAGATTTTTCTTTAAAATTGAGATTTCAGTGTTATATATATATATATATATCATCAAAGTTTGATTATCAATAAAGATGATAATTGCAGAGAAAAAATTGTGATTTTTTTGAAATATATAGGATATTACAGCTTTACAATAATATGTATATTTATTTATGGGACATTTATGTAATAAAAAATCATGAATAATGCATGAGCCAAATATTTATGTTAATAATAGCAAATTTATATCAATTGTCGATAATGTCAGCGTTCTTGAATTAGGTACCTCCGGGCCCTTGGGGTCCTTTTTATACCGCCGAAAATTTGCCCAGGGTTGACGGTCTTTAATAATATCTCGTCGGTGGTATTAATAATTTAATAATATACATTATTATTAATTAGAGGGGGTTTATCAAGTAATTACTCGAAAAAAAATATTTTATTTATAATTATATAAAATTATATATAATTTTATTTAATTATCTAGATAGCAAAATCTAGATAGCAAAGTCTGCAGTCTTCTAGCAGACTATCAGCAGATTCGAGGAGAAAATGACGACAGTCTACTACGTCCGCATTAGGCTTGTATTAATAATTATTTAATAATAAGTAGTTGAACAACAAAATAAAGTCATTAATTGTCATGTTTTTATTTAAATTATACCACATTTTGAGCATCGCGGAAGAAACGCTGATTGGCTGATATATTAATATGGCCGATCACTTGTTCCACCATCCTCATTGGTTAATCATCTTCTTGCGCAATAGCACACCTCATCTTTATTACATCATGGTACAGGCCATCTTTACAGCATCTTTATCAGCTGCTATGCGTTTTAAAACCATAAGCTGGAAACACAATAGACACAGGCAACAGGGAATAACGAGCCGTCCAATCAGAGCTCTGGGATATAATATCGAACTTATACCCCAAAGCTCTG